CTCACCATCAACATCCTCACCATCAACATCCTCACCATCAACATCCTCACCATCAACATCCTCACCATCAACATCCTCACCATCAGCACCCTCGCCCTCGCCATCAACGTCACCGTCAACATCCACTTCTTCAATGTTGACAGCTGCCGCAGCTACCACAGCCGCCCAAGCCAGGCCAACGCCGCCGCGTGGTGGTCCTCCAGGAGGTGGCCCTCCTAGAGTACCCTCCACGATGGTCACCGCTGGCAAGACCGAAACCGTGGATCTGGGCTATGGCGCAACGACGTCCAATGACCAGACGACCTTCCTGACTTCGACACGCGTTGCAAACGAAACATTCACATACGGCCCTTCTGGGTCCTTCAGCTACTGCCAAGCTTCGGACCTGACTGCCCCCCCCACGAGCTGGTCCGTCGTCCACACGACTACTATCACCTGGTACGGCAATCCCGAGGATTATACGCCGCCCTACCCCGCGATCTCAATCCCCCATACGACTTCATCATGCGTCGTTCTCACGTCTCCGGCGATGCTTACCATCTCCGTCTGCGCATCGACGGGAATGGATAGCAAATACAAGACATGCGAGGTGACAACAACGCAGGCGAGTTTCCATTTTGGTCCGCAGCTTACTACCACCCCGGCCATCGTCTTTCTCACCACCGATAAAAACCCGGCCGTGGTGTTCTCGAGCTTCAACACGCCAAACTATGGCGTCAGCCAGGAGCCAAAAACCCGCGACAACCACGTCAGCCCGACCAGCGATGGCGGCGCCATCTCAACGCCCATCTACAACTCGAACAGCGGCCCTCAAGCCATCACAGACCCTGCAAAACGCCCGAACCCGACGACGACCCCAGTGACGGTGGCTGTGCAGCCCACCGGCGTTGTCATCAACGGCAACACCATCCGCGACAACCCGGCGCAGCCCACCCAAGTCGTCATCGTCGCCGACCAGACCTTCACCATTGACCCGACCCGCGTCGTCGGCGCGGGCGCAACCATCGACCGCCCCTCGGCAACAGGCGGCGTCTACGTCCCCGTGCCAACAAGCACCAACCTGGGCGGCATCCTTGTCGTCGTCTCGTCCACCGTCGCCATCATAGGCGGCTCCTCCTTCACCCTCGGCCCAACCCCAACAACGGCCACCGTCTCGGGGCAGACCTTCACCGTCGGCCCCGGCACCATCGCGGCCGCCTCGCAGACCCTGGCGCTACCCACCCTCCCGTCCCCAACCGAAGTCGTCGTCGCCGGAGCCGATCTCATCACCGCCATCGGCCCCTCCGTCCTCGTCATCAAGGGAACCACCCTCACCTACTCGACGAGCACGACCCTCCAGGTCGACGATGACACCATCACCCTCGGACCGGGCGGCGTCACGGTGCACGGCGGGAGCGCCACCATCGGCGGCGCCTCTCAGGACGACTCTACGCAGTATGCCCTCGTCGGCGGCGCGACCCTCACCAAGATTGGCGCGTCCGTCGTCGTCATCCGCGACGTGACCTACACCGTCGGGCCCGGCGCCGCCACGACCACCACCGTGGTAGGAGGCGAGACTGTCACGATCAAGCCCGAGGGCGTCACGGTCGGCACGCTGACGCTGGCGTATCCCTTTGGTCCGACGACGGTCATCACGCCCGGGGCGACGGGGACCGGCGGGGCGAGGGTGACGGGTACGGGGGCAGCGGCCGATTCTTCTTCTTCTTCGGGTGGCGGGGAGGGGGAGGGGGAGGGGGAGGAGGATGCTGCTTTTGCTGGGGCGAGGCCGTGGATTGTGGGCGTTATTTGGGGGTTTACGGTTGCGGTCGGGGTGGGGGTCATGGCTTAGGTCTTTTTCCATTTCTCTTCTCTTCCACTTTTCTTCATTGGCTCTTTCTCCTTTAGGGTTATGGGCGGCGGCGTTGTGGGTTTTTGCTGTTTTATTCTCTGTGCGAGTAAGTCATTTGAGAGGAAAATCAGAATCGGCTTGACGACGGCTCTTGGTTTACGTTGATTAACGGTTGTTGGTAAGGGGTGGAAGATACGGAGAGGCCATGGTCAATGGCCGTCTGTTGTGTACCTGGAGTTTCTGTTGCGATACCCGGAAGAAATATCGGGAAAGAGAGGACGCTCTCCTCCCCTCTTAATGCGAATAACGAATTGTTGTGCGATGTCCCAAGGTTAGTTGTCTGTATTCCTCCGTCTAATGTTCAAAGTCCCCGTGGGAAGTTCAGGTTTAACATTCAGGTGGCTCGCTCTTCGGCCGCCCTCGGGGATCCTCGCCCCTGGGGGTTTAGCATATAACTTGGAAAACGGGCTGCCGTAGATAACGGCCATAATCTGAACTGACGTCGTCGCTATTTCGCACCCAATCGGGTGGCCTTGACTGTTTTCGCTAGTACCGGTATGGGTGCTTTCGGTGTTTCGGCAGGTAAAAACGGGGAATGGCCGGCAGAAGTCCGTGGCGATACAACCGAACGTATACTACTGCCCCGGCCAGAAACGGCTCGCCCATGAACACTAACCTGATCCAGAAAATGGTAATAAACAACTTTCCCGCAACCAAACCCAAAACATGACGCACCATCTACCGGTGATCTACTCTTCCCCTATTCAAACTCAAACCGCTCGGGCAACACGACCGGCGCGACGAGCGTCCAGACGTACATGGCATAGCACACCCACGAGCTAACAATCTTGACCCAGCTAGCCCACAGCGTCCTCCCCACAGTCGCAAAGTTCTCGCTGCCCCTCTTGTCATCATCCCAGTCCATCGTCAAGAGCGTCGCGACCCAGGCGGTAGCCAGAAAGAAGATGACGTGGAACATGGCATAGCTATACTGCGTGCTGGCGCGCTCGTCGTCGTTGCGCGTATTGCTGTTATTGTTGTTCCCGCCGTCCGAGTCGTTGTCGTCGTCGGATAGCAGCGCGTCCGGAGGCAGGCTGCCCTCCTCGACGGCGCGGCGGAGGGCCTCGGCGCGCATCTGCCTGCGGGCCGAGGGCTGCGTCGTCACGACCAGGTCGTGCTCGTAGTCTGCTTCGCTGTCGGGCAGGCGAATTTGGCCCGAGGAGGAGGAGGAGCCGCCGAGGCCGAGGCTCTGGGTGGCGGCGCGGGTCGTCGTGTAGGCGACGGTCAGCATGGTCACGATGGCGCCGACCACGACGGTGGTGGTGCGGGTGCCCTGGCCGAGGACGAGCGGGTTGCACCGGCGGTCCTCAGTCTCGTCGGGTTCCATGGACACGGCCGACATGGTCAGGTAGGTGCAGTAGACTGCGACCATGGCGGCTTGGGCGAGACCGGCCTTCGGGTTGTGTTCCTGGATGGTGGGGTGAACCGAGATGACCGAGATGGCGATCCAGAGAAGGAGGTTGATGGTGATGGCGGCTTGGTTCATGGAGCAGCCGCTCGAGGCGAAGAAGATGTACTGCACGATGGTCATGGCCAGCGAGGCGAGGTACATGCCCAGGGTCGAGCCGATCAGGATGATGCGCCACGTCCTGGACTCGGTGTCCTCAATCTGGGCGAGGCAGTACTCGGCCCAGTTGTGCGCCAGATCGACCAGCAGGATCAGGCCGAGGATCAGGAACATCATGGCGCACACCATGGCGATGTAGTTGCCCCAGAACTGGAAGAAGGTGTCCGGGATGAAGAAGGTGAGGACGATCAGGCCCAGCCAGGCGATGATCTTGGGGCCCCAGTAGCCGTTTTGAATGGCGGCGCGTGGGTTCTTGGAGGAGTGCACGCCGAGCATGAGGGCAGCCAGGACGAGGTGGAACATGCCGAGGGCGAAGTTGATGCGGTGGACGGCCAGCCAGCCGTAGCAGTCGCCGTCGCCGCACTTGATCTTGACGTAGTCCAACATCAGGTGCTGCAGCTTCTCGACGGCCCATTTCGTGAGCATGATCCATGATAGTATTGAGTTGATGAGGAGGATCAGGGCGTATGCGATACGGGTTGCGACACTGGAGGGGCCATGTCAGCAGCGGTTTGGAGGTGCTGGCGAGTGGTTGCCTACCTGTTGCCGCATTTCCCGCAGGCACTGCACACCATGGAGCAGGTGGCTGCGCCGCAACAGCTGGCTGCAAAGGATAGGACCTGCGCAAGTGTCAGTCAGAGGCCGTGGCACAAGAGTCAGGGAGGCAGACAGTGCCCAAGCTGGGGACCGCCAGCAGCGGGATCGAGAGGAGAGCACCCATGGTGTCGGCTGTAGGCAGCCCTCGGGCCTCTTCCAAGCGGGAATCAAGCTGTCGAGCTGTTGTGAGGGATCAAGTGTCTATCGGTGATTTGAAATCAGTTTCTCCAATGGTCGGAGCGAACGCGCGGCGGTGTTCGACGGCGCTTGTCAATGTTGTCGGTCGTTGCTGTCGTCGGATCTGGGCTGTGGCTTGGATGACGAACTTAAGTTGCGGCTAGCCCCGGGGGATGACACCGACAGTGCGCCTAAACAGTATTAGATCGGATCTGCGACAGACCACCTGATTCGCGGCAGACTTCCCTACCATACCAACCAAACATTTCACACTACTAACAATTGAGGGCCATTCAATCTAACTGCATTCCCCGACGCGGTCCTCTTAGAAAGATATGCTTGCACACCAAAAGTATACATGCACGCAAAAGATATGTATGTAAGCCAGGAAGAGTGGATGCAGGCCAAAGCTACATCCGTAGAATTGCCCAATGAGCCCTCCGCTCTCCCTGGCGCGAATCAAGTGGTCTGTCGCGAATCAACCCGCGCCCAACTAGGAGCCTTGGCGCCTCAACGAGTAGCAAATCTCCGTTCACTTGCGAACACCAGCAGAGGATCAAAACCTAGGGCAGGCACCGTCTTAGGTTGGGATTGAAGCTCGTCTTTGAATAATATTTTTTGTTCGGTTCGATAGGTTAAGTATTTGAAGCGCCAAATGCAACTCCATTTCCCGAGTCGACACTCGACAACCCGATCCCGCCGTCGCCGTCACGACTCACAGGCACATCATGAATCGGAGCCCAAGCAAGCTGGTCGCCCACGACCACCGCATCATAAGCTCTCTTATCCTTCTTCATTTCTCCGGCCAATACCCATTATTTACCGTTTGTGGCTGTCTATTTCTTATGGTTTCTCCTTCCGCCAGCGAGCGTGCCATGCTCTCGACAGTCTCTGAAATGACGGTCCACCCACCAACGGGGACCCCGCTGAGCTCGCAGCAGCCTGCCCCTAGTGCTGGAACCGGAAGTCCAATCTCTTGTTGCCCTGATCGGTTGTGGTGGCCAGGTAGTCCAACCGCTCCTCGGGAGTCATGGCGTTCCACTTCCTTTCTCTCTGCTTGTTGCGGAAGACATAGTATGCCTTCACCAGGCCGTACAGCACAATGTTCATGCAGAGGATTCCGAGCAGTTGCCGGTTTCCGCGTCGGTACAGCGGCGCGTCGTCTGTGGGAGGCCAGTCAGTGACTGCTTCCCTTGACTGTCCCCGCTGAGTCTAAGGTAGCCGTGGAGCAGAATGGAACTCACCAGCCCGGTAGATGTTGGAGGCGATGACGCCGCTTGCCTGGACAAACATGTTGTAGCAGGCCGCAGACACGGTGCGGGACCGGACAGTGTTCGAATTCCGCGAGTTCCATGCGACCTGGATCGGATGTGCTGTTGTTGTTCTCTCATCAGTCATCTCTCGCGCATGTAAATGCCACTGCTGTATGGTAGGGTCTTTTACCGTTGGGGTAGCTGAGCAGCAGCGTGGTGACGGCATAGATGATCCATCTGCTAACTTTGGCTGTATCCACGACGTTGAGGTAGATCAGGAACGGCAGTGCCCATATCTGTGAGGCCCCAGCCACCAGCGTTAACTGGCCGAGGACTTCGGCAAGGTAGGCTATGCCGAGCATCGTGATAACTGGCCGGCGTCAAAATCACAGCCTCTACGAGTCGCATTTCCGGGACAATCAATACTTACTGTGGCCAATAGTGTATGGTATGGCCAGCAAGTTTGACTGGAAGGTGTCGAAACCCAAGCCCCGGAGAGAAAGGGTGAGATACTGTTGCGGGGGCACCATTGGGATCTGGAACGTTAGGCCCAGAATATACAGCGGCCTGGACTCGATCAGTTCACCTCTCGGGGCTCGCTTCATGATGACAAAGATGGGTCTACCCACCAGAGGTCATAGTCCTTAAGGCTCTGCCAAAGGAGCTTGAGCGTGATGGGCTCCCGGTTGTGCATATCGCTCTTGTTTGGGTCCTCCCGCAAGACTCGGTTCACCATGATCGTTTCCTCGCTGAGATTCCGCAACTCCAGTCAGCGCCATCGAGACGGCGACCCGTACAAGAGAAAGGGACTTACCGCTCGGTGAACCACCCATTGCTGCCCCGGAACCAGCTCGCTGTCTGGCATGGCCCAGCTGGCATGAGAAGGAACGAGAAGAGACCAATAACAAGCGTCAATAAACCCTGCCCGCCTCATTAGTACCGATTGGATTCGAACCGATCACACACTCGTGAAGCGCGGGCACACTTACCTCGATCAGGAACAGCCATCTCCAACCAGAATGGCCCTGGACGCCCCGCATATGCAGTATACCGTAGGCAAGGAGGGCAGAGATAATGTCGGCGATGCTCATGGCTGTCCAAAAGAACCCCAGCCGTATCGTCAGCTCGTGATGCTTGTAAAAGTACGAAAGGTACAAGATCACCTATTGATCTAATGTGAGCTTCCGCTGCTACTGACTGCCAATTGAAAGATTTCAGGGACATCAAACTGATGTTTACTCACATCAGGGATGAAGCCGCCTTGCAGCACGCCCAGCGAGCAGCGGCAGACCAGGAACGACGTGCGGCCAGACAGGAAGAACTGGGCGCTGGCCACAATGCTCCAGAGCGTCATCTGCGCCGGTATCCAGCGGTCCGGTCCCACCCACTTGGACACCAGTTGGGACGGCAGTTCGGCACAGAGGAACGAGAGCCTAAAGATGGTGCTGCCGAGGTTGTAGTCTGCGAGCCAGACCAAGGGTCAGCACACACTCTCTCTCCATGGCGGTATCACAAGCCCTGTCCAGGGCTTCTTGCTGTCTCAGGGTGGCTCACCATTGGTAGTCATCCCGAGGTCCGGGAGGAAATTGTCGGTCAGGGCCTGCGAGATATTGGCTCGGTCAAGCTCCAGAGCCATGAACATGATGCAGGTCCACACCATGATCCGGAAGTCAATCTTGCGGATCAAGCCGTACTCCTCGCGCCATGTCCACCGCGCCAGCGGGTCGAAGCGATGCGTGTTCTCCCTGAGCTCGGTTATCTCGTCAATTTTCCATTCTCAATGGAAACTTTTAAGGGCGAATAGGCCTTACCACTTGGGAGGAGGTTGGTATCGTTCTGCCGTGTCCGTGTCATCAAACACGCTGGGCTTTCCACTCGTTAGCCTTTTTTGCTTGCAGGAGCCCTGCGGTATGGGGAGCTTGCCTGGGTGGCAATGGCATCCGGGTCGTAAGCCTTAGTTCTCTGGAACCAGAACCGCTTCTCCTGGATGGGTTCTGCGAGGGGCGGGATAGTGTTCACGGACGTGGTCGAGCTGTCAGGGCCCAGCTTGCTGACAAGCTCTGTTTCGACCTTGACGGCCTTGTCTTTGATGAGAACGGTAGCCATTACCGCGGAGTTGGTATCAACAACGAGTCTCAGCTGTTCCCTGGACCACTTCTTCCCTGTGTAACCGCTGGACGTCCGTTTCTTATACTAACGATCAAAGGACGTATTGACATCACCTCTTACCAGTTGCGAAGCCCACGATCTTGGTCCCCCGCATGTCGTACACCGTCCGCATAATCACGTCTTGAGTGTATCTGGCCAGCATGTTGTACCAACCTGGAAGTCAGAGGCTTATCAGTTGCCGCCAGACGGTGCTCGTCACCACCTGAAGCTTACTACAACCCCTGCCAAGGATTCATTGTCTCGGTCGACTGCTCACCAATCGTCGACGGTGATGTTTTGCCCAAAGACAGGCAGATGCGCTGCTTTGGCCATCCACGGTCGTCGAGAGGGCCGCGGCATAATCTGGAGGGGCGGTTACGACGCTCCCGCGCGTGGCATGCCGAACTTTTTACCGGACTTCGACATTCTAGCGCCATATTAGGACTGGCGATGAACGGTGGGGGATGGTGAGGCTGGAATCTTGAAACTGCCATGGGAGCATCGTGATCGGGGCAGCAGCCCGGCAGGGACAGCATGCCGAGGTTCAGCAACCCTGCAGATAATACGTTCTGATTCAGTATTGATGGACAATGGAATCGTTATCAGACCACGGCGAGTCAAGAACGCTGGCCACTGGCGCTGGGTCGAATGCCAAGAACAGGTTCTTGAACAATCCCAACATGACGCGATGATTCGTGCTCATCCCAGCAACTTACGCGACTCTCTTAGACTACTACCGGCACTTAGGGAGCCACCAGTCCTAAGAACTCCATTGGCTAGTTAGGTAGCTAATTGGACGACTACAACCATCTCCGTGTCTGTAGTGGCCTTCAACACCATCCCTGCATATCAAACAGTTCAAACACAACCCTCGCCTTCCATCAACCTGCATTATCTCCGCAAACACCGCAGCGAGAGCCGGGTCACGCAGAGCGAAACCGAGCACCGTCAGACAGGCTACCAATCAGACTTCGCGAAAGAGGCGTTTGGGATAAAGGTGGCAGAGAAAGCAGCGTGGGGAATCAGCTTGCGCCATCGTTTAACCCACCTCCCAATCCCATGACGCCGTCGCGGAGGATATGACCGTGATGATACGCAAGCTCCGTGCCGGATGCCGTCTTCCTGGCCCCGCTCTCCACGGGACATCACAACCTCGGATGGTCGGATGTTCGGCACATAACGATGCTGCGTCTCTGGGAACCTGCTGATTTCATTCCCGGGACACTAGGGAGGCCACATCAGTCTCCCCGCACGTATAGACTGTGGCGGAATACACGATAGGAAACTCGCCATCGCGACCATTGATGCCCGTATCATGGCCATCCGTATTCCCCTACGTATCACTCGCAATCTTGCAGCTTCGCAGTGCAACATTGGAGAAAGGAACGCGGGGGGAACATGTGTGACTGTGGAAGAAGGGGGTTTGGTGATGTGAATCTATCTCGTCAGCTGTCCAGCAGCTCAACTCAGCTCAATCACCGAATTGTATAAAAGGGGCACCTGCTCTCACCTTGCCCAAACCACCAACCACACCAGGAATTCGATATCACACGCGTTTTGTTGGGCTATCAATCTTCGCACATCACAGTGCTTCTCCTGAAGAACGAGACAAAACAAGATCAGCATCACTCACCACCGACCATGGCACCTTCAGCAGTTGAAGTTGACGTCCCGTTGGTAACCAAAGGCGTAGTTCGTGAGCCGCTCAAGCTCTCTGGAGCGCTCGACTTGTACGAATCGTTCGATGTCACTCCCGTTATTGGCCGCGAGTTTCCCACTGCCAAGTTGGTGGAATGGCTCGACGCGCCCAATTCGGATGAGCTCCTCAGGGACCTTGCGATCACCAGTAAGCCGCTTCTCTCGAAACATCCCGAAATGGTGTAGCTGACATTCCCCCAGTCTCGCAACGCGGCGTCGTCTTCTTCCGAGCCCAGGACGACCTGACCAACGATCTCCAAAAGAAACTGATTCTGCGACTTGGCGAGCTCACGGGACGGCCTTCCACCTCGGGGCTGCATATCCACCCCATTCTCAACTCGGAGCGAGAGCTGGGAGGTAACGATCTCGAGATCAGCACCATCAGCTCGGTCCAGTCCAAGCAGTTATATTCCAAGACGGGCCCAGACACGCTCAGCGACAAGAAGCAGAACAGCGCCCAGTGGCACAGCGATATCGCCTTTGAGCCCGTGCCGGCCGACTACACGTCTCTGCGGCTTGTGCAGCTGCCGACCACCGGAGGAGGTAAGTCAGGGCCATTTCTAACACTGCGCTGGGAAAGCACCCTGACCAGAAAAAACGTACCTAGACACTCTCTGGGCGTCGGGCTACGAACTCTACGACCGTATCAGCGAGCCGTACCAGAAGTTCCTCGAGAACCTTACGGCCACGTTCGAGCAACCATACTTCCAGAAAGTGGCCGAGTCGTCGGGCTTCCGGCTGTACGACAAGGAGCGCGGCGCCCCCGAGAACGTCGGCGGCGAGCTCAAGGCCGTCCACCCGGTCGTGCGCACCAACCCGGTCACGGGCTGGAAGAGCATATTCCCCGTGGGCGGCCACGTCAAGCACATCAACGGTCTGACCGAGGAGGAGAGTTCCAAGCTACTCGGCTGGTTCCTAGATCTGGTCTACAAGAACCACGATCTGCAGGTCCGGTTCAAGTGGAAGAGCTCCAATGATATTGGTAAGTTTTCCCCTTTCTCTCACACACACTTTCCCTGTGATGCCACTTCGAATAGCCTTGCTTGTGATGCTAACCCGGGTTATCAGCCATCTGGGACAACCGATCCGTGTTCCATACCGCAACCTTTGACTACCTGGACGGTCAGTATGGTGAGCGGTTCGGAAACCGCGCGGTGGGCCTGGGTGAGCGGCCGTATCTTGACCCTAACAGCACCTCGAGGAGGGAGGCCTTGAGCAAGGCTTGATGAAGTTGCCTCCTTCCGTCCTGTTGCTGGGTCAGCCTTTTCTCTCTTTCAATCATCAAGGAAACCGATCTAGTCAGATTCCGCCTGTCCTTGTGCATCACTCACGGCTAACATGTGATCTGTTACCGATTACACACATTGTGCAATGAAACGTGATCGTGCCGACTCTGAAGTGGGAAGATGCCCTACCAAAGGCCAGCCCCACTCAGCTACCAGGGGTGCTCCAGCCACTTACGGTAAGGTATGCACGAAGGTACCAGCCCAGATAAGCCAAGCCCTTTGAACCCACTCCCACATCCCGTAGTCAACCATCATCCGAGACTCTCATATCCCCCTGTCCAACGCCTTCGTGACGAAGATGCCATCGCCCAATTGACAATTTAGAACTTCCTCTGTCTCCTAGCGTCGCCGGTTGCATTCCGCTCTAAACAATAGCCGGGATGACTCAGTACGGCTGAAGTGTCGCCTTTTTTTGATTACCCCGTCCTCGACTCCGTCTCCGAGGTCCATCTCCCTTCCCACCTCCGTTATCGCTCTTCGAGCTACAAGATGCGAGACGCACAGCTGCACCGCGCCCGGCTGGTGTCGAGCGTGGCTGCCACCATCATCTCGCTGGCCTGCGGAACCAACTATGTCTACTCGGCCTGGGCGCCCCAGTTCGCCGACCGCCTGCACCTCACCACCACCGAGACCAACCTCATCGGTCTGGCCGGCAACCTGGGCATGTACTCGGCCGGCGTCCCCGTCGGTCTGTTTGTCGACCACCGCGGCCCCCGTCCAGCCGTCATCTCGGGCGCCCTGTGCCTCGGCATTGGCTACCTTCCCTTCCGCGCCGCCTATGAGACTGCCTCGGGCTCCGTGCTGCTGCTGTGCTTCTTCGCCTTCCTGACCGGCCTGGGAGGCTGCATGGCGTTTGCTGCCTCGGTCAAAACGTCCGCCCTGAACTGGCCTCACCACCGAGGCACCGCGACCGCCTTCCCCTTGGCTGCCTTCGGACTCAGCGCCTTCTTCTTCTCCGTGTTTGGCGGCGTCCTCTTCCCGGGCAACACAGGCGCCTTCCTCACCCTGCTGGCGGTCGGTACCTTCACTTTGAGTTTTGTTGGTTTCTTCTTCCTCAAGGTCCACCCGCACGCCTCGTACCACAGCCTGCCGACCGGCGCTCCTGCCTTGTTCGACTCGCAGCGGCTGCACCGCACACCCTCCGAGGAGACCAAGGCCTCGCGCCGTCACGGCGGGCGACGCTCTCCAGATGCAGAACGCGGTACGTCGCCCACCACCTACACGACTCCCGCGGCGGCTGCCGGTCCATCCCAGGAAGCCCCGGCACCGGACCCAGCCGATGTCGAGGCTGCCCCCCCTGCCCTGGACGCCGCCGCATCCCACGAGGCGGAGCCGGACGAGACATCGTCCCTCATGTCCAGGTCGTCGTCGTCGCTGGCCGGCGATGTCCTAGTCCAGAGCAGTGTTGATTTGGATCGCTCCCACCGTGTAGATATCCGCGGCTGGCGCCTGCTGCGCAATGTCGACTTTTGGCAGCTGTTTGCCATCATGGGCATTCTGGCCGGCATTGGCTTGATGACTATCAAGTGAGTTCTCTTTGTCCCCCCCTCAAGATGCAAGTCTGGCTGACACGGGGAAAAGCAACATTGGCCATGATGCCAACGCGCTCTGGAAGCGCTACGACCCCGCGGTAGACGAGGCCTTCCTCGTCCAGCGGCAACAGATGCACGTCTCCATCCTGTCGGTTGGCAGTTTCTGTGGCAGGCTGCTGAGCGGTAAACAACCCCTCTACTGCTTTCTCCGTTTTCTCCTCCCCCATACTGACGCAATTCACCCAGGCGTCGGGTCCGACTTCCTCGTCAAGTCCCTGCACGCCAGCCGGGCCTGGTGCCTCGTCATCGCCTGCTTCGTCTTCAGCGTCGCTCAGATCTGTGCCATAAACGTCGAGAACCCCCACCTCCTGGGCTTCGTCTCGGGCCTGTCCGGTCTCGGCTACGGCTTTTTGTTCGGCGTCTTCCCCTCCATCGTGGCCGAGTCGTTTGGCGTCCACGGTTTGAGCCAGAACTGGGGGCTCATGACCCTCGCTCCGGTCTTCTCGTCCAACGCCTTCAACCTGTTTTATGGCGCCGTCTTTGACAGCCACAGCATTGTTGGGCCGGACGGCGAGCGGTCTTGTCCGGATGGGCTGGACTGCTACAAGAATGCCTATTTTGTTACGCTGGCGGCCTGCGGTGTGGGTATTGTCGTCACGCTGTCGACGATTCGGCACCAGTACCATCAGCGCTTGAGGGAGGAGGGGAAGGGCGCTGCTGAGGATTAGGTCTCGGTGGGCAGAGTGGCCGCCAGTAGGGGCTTTCTGGATGGCGGCGAGAAATCTCAGAGAACAGGCGTCAAGTTGGAGAGATTGGACTATATCATGTGGATGGCCGTAGAGACCGTTTCAAGATGGCTGTCGCCGGCAGGTAGATTGGCTACAGGTTGGCACGGCACTGCACAGGATGGCGTTCCGGACACCGAAGTTAGAGGGCCACCAGGGAACGAGTCACTACTGGGCGTTCGGGCTCTACAGGCAGTGCAAGAAATTTCCCAGCATGTCAAATGCACTCATGAACTGCATGATTGAAGGAATGGTTCTTTAAAAAGCCAGTCTATGCTGAACACGTCTCAGTGTTGATGGAGTGAGCACCTTGATGGCTCGCTCTGCCGAGAAAGCGAGACGATAACAACCCCAACCCTCACACCCAACTATCCCCAAGCAGTTGACCCCCTTTGTCAGTATCCGTCTTCCACATCAGTACCACCACACTGAAAACAGCACGGCAGCGACCACCACCCGCGGGCATTTCCGCGCCGCAGCCATGTTGTCATTTATCCTCATTCAGAACCGGCAGTAGGTTCCAATACCCTCAGCATTCCGACCCTCGATTTCGAATCAAACCCCCGCTAACGCCGATCCGCACACAAGAGGCAAGACCCGCCTGGCCAAGTGGTACGTCCCCTACAGCGACGAGGAAAAGATCAAGCTCAAGGGCGAGGTTCGTCCCCCCATTTTTCCCTTTCAAATCACCCCTTCCCCAATGCCCTTTCATTTTATTTTTTTGGCTTTCATGCTAAACCTTGGTGTGGTTCGATTCGATAAAAGGTCCACCGGCTCGTAGCCCCGCGCGACCAAAAGTACCAGTCCAACTTTGTCGAGTTCCGTAACCACAAGCTCGTCTACCGCCGCTACGCGGGCCTCTTCTTTTGCGCGTGCGTCGACACGAATGACAACGAGCTCGCCTACCTCGAGGCCATCCACTTCTTCGTCGAGGTGCTCGACGCCTTTTTCGGAAACGTTTGTGAGCTGGACCTGGTGTTTAACTTCTACAAGGTCTACGCCATCCTCGACGAGGTGTTCTTGGCCGGCGAGATCGAAGAGACGAGCAAGCAGGTTGTCTTGACCAGGTTGGAGCATCTGGATAAACTGGAGTGAGACCGACTGACAGACTTGGAAAATTTATCTTCGAGTCGGGAGGGAGCGTGGGGTCTGGAAAGGGATTACAGCGGCTTGATGGATGTGTGTCGGTGGAGGGGAGGGTGCGGTGCGTTATCTTTGCCATGTTCCGGTTGGGGAAACATAACGGGAATGGGTGGGTGAGGAGGATAGAGGCGATGCAGAGGAGGGATGCTACCGCTGCGTCCTAAGACGGAGATAGCTGGCCAGCCGCACCACTTTGAGCCGGTGGTAGCTGAACTGAATATGCGGTGCGGGATTTTACAGAAACGAAGCCGCTCGGAACCGTTGGGAGATGAGAGGGTCGCTGAAAGGGCCAAGGCGAAGGACACGTCAAGGGGGGGACAAGTCGGGCAAGTGACAGTGGGAAATATCCATGCGCCCATCAGATTCACCATTGCCGTTGACGGTTCGAATGGCACGACGGTAATACCAACATGAGGAGCGGCCGTTTGCACGGACAGGAGGCCAGCAGTATGCTCAATCGAATAACTAGCAGTTCTCTATCGGCTCAGCAAAATAGCTAAAATAGATGTATGACATCTCGCGAAGCTGTCAACTGGCGACGACAGGCATCGAAGCAGCAGTAACCTGTGGACGCCTGCCCCATGATCCATCCGTGACCCGGCCGCTACGGGCACCTGTTCCTGCCCAAGCAACGAACCGAAAAATGAAAACCGAAACTTTCCGAAAGGTAGGAATACATAACACGTCCACTTGCGACTCATCCGCCTCAAAGCCCTGCACCAACGATTGGAACGGAGGCCAATAAACAGGATTCCGAGCAACGGGCTCGCGAACTCGCACTGGCGTGTTGAAGGCCAAGTCAAAGTCGCCGGGCGAATCTCCTGGAAAGCAGCGGCACGTCCCTCAGAAACTTGAGACGGCTCCATGGCGACGAAATGCCGGTCAGGCTAAGAATATAAATCGACTGTCTCTTGGCCCTCAACAACGGGAATAGCGGGAAGCTGTTGTTCCTGAGAAGCAGCTGATCCCTCAGGAAGCTGAACAGCCAGGGTCACACAATATCGACCATTTGTGCGTCAACCACGCCTTTGGCGACCGAGTCAACAGCCGCCTCGTCTGTCGCCGAAGCCTCAACATCCGTCTCGTTGTCATCAGCGGGACTTGGAAGCGAGGAATCAGTTGCCTCGGCATCAACTACCTCACCGGGCTTGAACCCGACCATTGGATCCCCCCTTGCAATCCTTGTCAGGCTTGCTTTCATGGCAGGGACAGCCAGCCAAGCTTCATCCATCACTGTGTCCTCTTGCTCCGTACTGCTGAGGCGGTCAGGCTGTTGCATGGCAGAGTCAATTGCCTCATGGTCCGACACACAAGCTTCCGCTTCATGTGTGGTAGACGTAGTCTCGGCTACCATCTCGCAGTCGGCCGAGATAAACGACTCTTCCTCCCCAGAACAAAGCTCATAGAAGTCGGCGCTGCGACAACGAGCCTTGTTCACGGTCTGGTTGACCCAGTTTTTTTTATATCCCTCGAACAGCGTGACGAGCAAAGGATGGCAAGTCTTGGCACCCTCGTCTCGGATCATCTCCATGATGTTGAGCTCAGACAGCTGGCCGTCAGTGTCGCAACGATTTTCCATGCTCTTCGCGAGGACGATCTTCTCCGGCTTGTCGACATCCATCGTCTCGACCACCGAAGAAAACGTCACGCGCTTCACGAGCCGGGTTTGCGGAACATTCTCGTCGCCATATGACAATCGTTCTTCCCGCTCTACCGGAGCAAAAGTGACGGGCTTGGCGGGACGGGCGTGCGGAACAATTTCGTCGACCTCATCGTCGTATGACAGTCGTCCTTCCTGCTCAACCGGAGCAGAAGTGACGCGCCTAGGAGGACGGGTTTGCGTGACATCCTCGTCCACTTCGTCGTCATATGACAGTCGTCCTTCCCGCTGACCTCCCCGCTGCACGATGAGGTCGTCATCCCGCCGACCCATGAGATTGTCAGATAATGTCGCAGCCTTGGAAGACCAATTCGCCATACCAGCAATGGCCAAGCCCTGGCTCTTCTTCCTCAAAACGGTTTTGTCGGGGGAAGGCGAGCGCGATGCCTTGCGTTTACGTCGCTGATCCCGAGGCATTGACAGGGACAGACGAGAGAACTCATCCTCAGGACGATACTTGTCCACTGGGCGATATTTGTCCCCGTAACGATGGCGCCCAACTTCACGGACTGGCGACGAGGACCGATCTGTACCACGGGCTGGGATGTCATACTGGGATTCTCGCCCGTCCTGAGATGGCTCCGCCCGTTTGTCCTGAAAACGATCCATATGGTCTGGCCGGCGTGCTCCCTCAACCCTACCGCCTGTCTTCGCATACGCACGCCTCTGGGCTGCAATAGAGTCCGGATGTGGGTGCTTAGGGCACAGAGGGCCGTAGTGTTCTCCGACCTTCTTGCAGAAGTGGCACTTGTAGTTCTGGGGCGGCTTCCTGTCGAAGGAGGGATCCATATTGGTCGGACATTTCTTCAAAAGGTGTCCTGGACAGGAATCAGCGGCTGCACCTGACAGTACCCATGTCTACTTACCCTGCTGCCCGCAGCGGTCACAGACGTAGTACTGAGGAGGCCGCTTCGAGGTGCCGCCTTTCTCAGTTCTGGGCGAGGCGGAAGACGAGTCGGAATATTTCGCTGATAACTTCCGCTTCGTCTCAGCAACCTCAGAGTCCTTCTTCTTGGGAGGCGCCGTGGTCAAATCTTTCACGGCCAGCATGTTGGGCCCCGTCAAGATAGGAAGACCTGGCTGCGGATTTTGTCCATGCCCCTCGGAGGAGCCCCTCCCCTTCGGTAACGTCTTCGAAGAGATGAAGACAACATCGTCGTCGCCACCATCGTCATCATCGTCAATCTCGATGACTGTGCGAGGTTCCTGAGACAATTTGACCCTGTCAGGGTGCATCTGACCGAACAAAGCCTCTGGCTTTGCAGCACTTAGGCCGGGGTTCACAGACGTTGAAGGACTCGCCATCAACCCGCGCAGCTCGGCTTCCGCGATGCTGAGCCGTCTCGAGCTTGTAGGGTCCGCGATGGCCTGGTGGCGTTGCCAGTTGCGAAACGCCTCGAAAATGAGGTCGTCGTGACTGGCCATGGCCTTCAGGAACCGATACCAAGTTGTGATCTCTTGGGTGAGAGAGCCCTCGGCCGAAACATCGATGGCCATGAGGCGTGGATACAGCCACATGACATAGATGGTCAAAGTCCCCATTCTACTCACGTCCGAGGGCAGCTTGTTGGTGATCGCATCCGAAAGCTGATTCAAAGACACGCCCTCGAAACTCTCAAGGTCTAAGACCTCAAGACATCCTTCTAAGTTGTTGAAATGTCCATCACGACAACCTTGGGAGTCACGGGCTCCCTTGAAGAAAGAGATGATGGTTTTGGTATCGAGATGTTTGTTTGCGTGTGCTTCCGACATAGTGGCATCGCCTCGGTGATACTCTCGACTGAAATTTGACCGAGATGAAACCAAAGCCGCGAATTAAGCGACTAAATCCACCGACTTTCAAAGTAACCTGGAAATTACGCCGGCGCACTCGAGCCTTTGGCAAAGGAGAGAGGGCTTTGGCCCTCTCGGAGACTGTTGCGGAAATGTAAGGAAGATCAGGAAAATCGTGTATTTCGAAAAACAGGGTTGCAGATTTCGCCAGTCAAAGTGACCGCTTGGAGGGAGTGATGAAGGAAGGCAAGGCGCAATCGATTTGTGAAATCTTGAAGATGACTGGGAATCTTTGTGGAGGGATGTTGGCAGGTGTAGACGAGGAAGGCACCACCAAGGTGATGATGGGACTTGGTCGCATGAACAGGCACAAGAACAGCTGGATTGCGTGAAGACTAGGGCTTCAATTCTTTGCGGTTGGGCCGTCTACCATCACGGAGCTCACACTGGGCGACGACGACCTGGTGAGCCGGTGACTCGGTGAAGGTGGACGGGTACCCGATACTGGACCCGGAAGCCTCCTCAAAATATATGCAGCGGATGTGTATCGGAGTAAGCCAAGAGAAGGAACATGAAGAAACAGGGGGGCTGAATTCTGTTGTCAATACTCAATGGAACGGAGTAATGAGTGAAACCGATAACGCCGGACTCCGCCGAATGGAAACGCCCATGCCAAACCGAGGACAAGAACACCAGAAGAGCTATTCCCAAGACTGAACAACACCTCCAAGCAAACAATCTACCTCTTCAACGCAGCAAACCTTTTGGCCAGCTCGTCGACATCTGGGACGCCATCAGAGATGCTCGCCTTCTTCTCCACGGGCTTCCTCGCCGCAGCCGCCGGCTTCATCGTTGGCGTCAACTCGACGTGGTTGAGCGTCACCTTTGGGTGTGGATTCTCAGTCGACGCACTCGGAGGGTTCACATGCAGGGGGCTCGCGGGCCCAAACGTCCTCGGCGGTGTGGCCTTGCTGAGCTCCTCCGTAACCTCCGTCACCTTATCCTCACCCTCCAAGCCTTTCCCCGTCTGCCCTCCACCACCCCCTTCCCCATCTTCCACATACCCAGGCGGCTCCCCCAGCTCCTCCGCCTCCCTCTCAGCCCGCAGCCGCCCCGGCGGCCAGTCGACCCCATACGCCTTGGCAATCTCCTCCAGATACCCCTGCACCAGCTCCTCCCTCGGCGGATCGACACTCAACTTCCTCACCACCCGTTCACTGACTTTCCCATCCGAGTTCTCCATTGCCACCAGGACAAACTCCTTCCCAAACTTCTCCGCCAGCAGCCCTCTCACAGCCTGCAACTCCTTGATCTCAGTCTTCGGCGCCGCGTACACGATGCTCTTGACGGCCTCTTCCAGCCCCGGGTCGCACGTGGGCGACGCCTCGAGCAGGCCCGCCCGCGCGAGGAGCAGCTCGCAGTACAATTCCAAAATCTCGTGCAGCTCCGTGGCGATGTCGGAGCGGATGATGTTCTCGACGCGGATGCGCGCCGAGTCGATCTTGCCCTGCTCGAGCAGCTGGGCCATAGCTCGGCGCTGGGCCTTGGCGAGGGCCTCGTCGCGCTTCTGGACCATGCGCAGGCGCGCTATGGCGAGTTTCAGCTGGACTTTGATTCTGGGCTGGTTTTTTGTTGGAAACACGGGTCAGCTACGGTCTGTGGGGCCTGATGATGGGGATGGCGTGGAGGGGGTAGCGAGGGGTTGGACAAACCACTAGGGAGGAGGATGGTGGAGGCATTGTGGCGGCTTGAGGCGCGGTACTAGATGGGACCTTGGAGTGATCGGGGCGATGGATTGTGGAAAAGTTACGGTCAAAATTCACAAATTTATGCTGAGGATGCCGTCCAGACTCCCATAAATGGGAAGAGGTGAGGTTGCTTATGCCTGCAAGCGGCTGACAGCTCGCCTTGCCCATGTGGGGGTATGTGGGGATAGCGGGGTACTACTGAGGTTCAGATACGGATATGTCGAGACTGTTACAGCTAGAAGTGCCCACCGCCCTTTATCGATAAGATGCGTTTCCAACTCCTAAGGTGGGTGCGGAGTGTCTTTCACTGTACCAGTCCAGCAACCAGTTCATGAACCCATGTCTCTTCAGTATTCGTGATGTACAAAGTTCCATACCCATGCACTCATCCGGAACCGGTGAAGTAATCCATTCCATCCGACCCAAACAAAGACAAGCCGCTGCAACCCATACGCCGTCTCCAGAGCGCCGCTTGATCTCCACACCCATACAAGCCTATATCAACTTGAGCGCCGTCCGCTGCTGCAGCCTCGTTCCGTTGAGCATGGCCCTTGACTTCTTGGGCCGCTGCTGGAGTCGGCGGAAGGCCTCTTGAATGTGCCGCGGCTCGACGGGAGACCGCCCCTCGCTGGGCGGGTCAAACAAACCACCGCCGCCGGGCAGCTTCCGCTTCTTACCCGCGTTCTCACCCGTGCGCTCGCGGTACTGGTCCTCGTTCTCCTTGATCTTGAGAGCCTCCTCCGTCAGGGTCTGCACCATTTCAAAGGTCAGAAACCCCAGGATGTCGACAATATCATCCGATGGCTTGCTGTCCGTCACGATGCCGAAGCCGGCCCACTCCCGGAACCGTTTGCCCTTGCGGTACGTGAAGGACGCCTGGCGGTATTCAGACCACGTGACGTACTCCTCCTTGGTCATGGCCTTGGTGCGCTCATCGGCCTTGCGCAGCCGCTGCAGCGTGATGTAGTTCATCTCCTCCTCCTCCTCGTCTTCTTCGTCCTCGCGCTCCGGTACCTCGACCGGGAAGAACGATGCCGGCTCCCAGGGAAGACCGACCTTGGCTTTCTTATTCTTCTTGGCCGTGTCATCGACTGGGCCGCCCGCGACGACGCCACCGACAGGATCCTCCCCGGCGCCCAGATCCGCGTCGCCGCCCTTGTCGTCCGAATCCTTGACGTTTTTGCGCACATCCTTCCAAGAGAGAAAAGTGCGCAGCCGAGAGACTTTCGGTGCGTCGTCGCGAATCTGGAAGATGAGATCATTGATGGTGATGGAGCGCGACCCGCGGCGGGCGGCCAGTTCGGTGCAACTCTTGAGCTGAAGGGGCTGTCAGTTAGAACGTACAGAACAATTGAGGAATGTAGACTTACAATCTCGATGACTTGTTGGCGGACGATATCTTCGATGATGCCTGTTGTCTCGACCGAGGGCTCTCCCGTCTCGCCTGACACGTACATCATCTGGTGGAGGTGAAGATAATTAGTAATGACTGCGCCAGGGTGTGGCTCGAGTGATTCGAATAAGCCGCATTCATCCTCCTCATCCGATTCCACTTCGGTGTCAAAGGATGAGAGGGCAATGCCATGCGAGTTCTTGAGAGCCCAGTCCAAGAACTTGAGTGGGATTCCACGGACGTCCAACTTTGGTTCGAGCAGGCACCGAATGTTTTCCAGCTCCCTGCCCGCGTCCACGACGACTGCTTCGTCAAACGCCGCCTGGAACATGGCTGCCGCGTCGAGCTGAAGAGCCCCGAGATACGGCATTTCTGGTGGCTAATCCACGTCGCGTCGCTGAACAGAATTCTTGGCATATTTCTCAGGAGTACAGGAGAGTGCGAGTTCTGGGCTTTGGTCTGCCCGTGCGATGAGGAGAACATGCAGCTTCCTGCAATGAAGTGAGAGAAGGTTGGGTAAGCCTAGACGAGATCAGACGGAATGATATAGGAGAAGTGCAGACTGGTCGTTGGAAGGCAGGCTGGCACTCTAGGGAGACAGAACAACCAAACACCCAACTCTGAACTGGCAGCTGTCTGGTAGCAACCATCTCTGCGTGCACAGTTTGAGCCACTTGGGGGTGCAGCTAGAATAAATGGTGCTCAAGAGGCTGATTCCGAAACCCGGCGAACTGCAGAGACGTCTTTCGATCGTGTTGATCGGGTTGCAACCACAGACGGATTGGCTCTTCTCGACTATCGCCTCACCCACTGCACCGGTGGTTTTGTCTCCTCTTCCTCCTGAATTTGACCATGGTTTCGCAGCAGAACCATGACTCCGCTGGCTGTTTGGCCGGTCATCCACATCTGGACCTCGTGGATCAGACGGGCTGTGAGACGACCCTCCACTGCTATCGATGTGGAGGGTCCCACGAAATTGTCTGGTGTAAGTTTGTTTTGACCGCGCCGATGTTTCAGCATTACGATAACCACCTCCCACGCGAGCTGGTTAGGTGGCCTGGCTTGGGGAGAGTCATGCTCCATGGTCTGTGTTGGCCGCCATGGAGACTTCCAGTGAGCCGAAGCTAGTATCGTCCGCACACAGACAAAGCGCGACGTTTCCGGGGTGGAATTGTGGGACGGATGCAAAAAGAATAGCGCGACAGCCTATAGTCTCACTGCGCGTAACCTGGCTTGCTCCGGGCCAGCACAGGCCACCATTTAGTCCGGTATTGTTGTCCTGAACGAAGGATCGTGTTTGGGCCCCGTCTTCATCAGATGGAATTGCCATCATAGGAACGGTATCGCCCAGAGGAGGGTATTGCCATACTATTGAAGGAGACCCATATCGACGAGCGTGCTCTTCTTCGCCCGCAAGAGGCATGTTGTTGAGCATCTGCCGAACTAGGCAGAGCAGTGCACACTTGCGCATGTTCGTTCCCTAGGCCAGTGGCCCCTTGGATCTGTCCAGCAAAGCTGCTTGACGTGGCTTCATCGCATGTACAAAGTGAAAGCGGAGAGAATGAGCTGGCAAATTGGAAGGTGATATGGTGAAATTGACAGAAAGGGAAAGCCCACACACCTGCTGGATCTCCTGTCGGTACTTGTATTGCTTGTCCCTGTCCGCCATGGTGCTGCTCGCGGAGACTGAAGACCCTAGAATATTCTGCAAAGTAGCGAATGGTCTGCTGATGAAGATGATGATTTGTGTCGAACGTCGATGACCGATGTTGATGACCCGACGGGTTGGGCCGTTAAGGTAGGCGGCGATTGACACGAAGGATGGATTGAGGCGTGACAGATGCGGCAACCGGAAAGGGTGCTGTAGGACACGTACGTTGATTATTGTGGTCAACTGTGTGTTCGTTTACAGAATGTGCTCGAATACAGGGCGCGTACAAAGGGTGTGGATAACAACAAGGTGGTGGTGCAAGTGTCCTCCAACTAACTGCAGTCCAACATGAGGTCTGATGCAGTAAAAGTGGCCCCACCTCACACTGCAGGGGTGGGGCTCAGCTTGCTCGCCTTGCTCAGCTGGCCGCCTCGCATAATTACGTACAGTAATATGTACGTAAGTCATATCTGGAAGCAACCCTCTCATAACAGAGCACTGGTGAGGGACGAGGTCCCCCCTATAAAGAGCGGACCTTGTCTTGTTCCTATCTTTTTCCCTTGCTTGATTCTCATGCACCCCAATGGTGTGATTTAACATCATTCCAACTTCCTTCTCTTAAGGTCTCCATGTTCCCTCTTGGACACTCAACTTATAGCCTCAAGGGCCAGCAGAGTGAATTCCAATGTGATTAAAATACCCTTACGGGCCTAATAAACAACAAAATCTCATTACAGTATTATACCCAGTTTTGCCTGATGCACGACAGACGGAAATTCACGCTTCATCCCTCTTCGGCAACCCCCCTTCCCCCCCACCCCCTTTAAACAGCCAGCACGTCATCCCATCCGACATCCCCCCTCCTCAACCCCTAACCTCTAAATCCATCCCCTCTCCCTCCCGTCCTCCTCCCCTCCACCCCCAGACAACAACATAATGCCCCGCCAACAACCTCCACTCCTCCACCTCATCCAGACCCCCCTCAAGCGAATCAACCCTCTCCTTCTCCTGAGTCGCAACCCACCCTTCCCAAATCGAATCCACTGCCAGACACCGCACCTCGTCAAACCCGGCCGCCCTCAACCGGTTCTCCTGGTCCGGGGGAGTCGGGTACGCCTCGAGCGTCGGCATGTGAATCCCGCGCGCGGCGAGGTTCGAGACCATCGTCCTGCCGAAGGGGTCGTGCGGCGAGATGGGCTCGTAGATGATCAACCCCACCGGCGGGGCGGAGGTCGAGGTGGAGGGGGATGAGAGGTGGGTTGTGAAGTGGGCGAGGACGGAGGTGGCGGTGGAGGGCTCGAGGTAGCAGAGGCAGCATTCCGAGAGGAGGAGGGTTGGGGCTGTGGGGTGGAAGCTGGGGAGGGCCGGGGAGGACGGGGTTAGAGTGCGGAGGTCCAGGCCATGGAGGGTGAGAGTGTTGTTGTTGTTGCTGCTATTGTTGATGCTGGTTGGGGTGGTGAGCGAATGGCATTGCCAGGTTGTTTGGGCGATGGGACTCGGGGTGGAGAGCACGGCTCGTAGGGAAGGAGTGGAGCTAATGATGACTTGTTTGCGGGCCATGATGGCTGGGAAGTCGATTTCGTGATAGATGATGTTGCGATGGTTGGTGGGCGACGTGAAGAGGCGTAGGCAACGGGTGTCGGTGCCTGCGCCTAGGGAGACAATCTGTCTTGAATCATCCGGATTGGTAGTGGCTAAGAAGCGGTCGACGAGCATGTCGATAGCAGTGGTGCGCGTGTAGGTGCCCCTGTTTATGATGGGTAGGCGACGGGTGGCCGGCCCTTGTACGAAGAGCCGGGCGAATGGGTCCGCGAGATAGCCCAACTCAACGGCGCTCAAGCGGGAAACGGCAGCATCAGTGTCGGTGCCTTGGATGGTGGCATCATGGCTTGGACCGGCCTCGGAGCCGGAAAGGTCGCTCCGGCCACCCCGGCCCCGGCCCCGACCTCTTCCGGCACCCCGGAGAGATAGCAGATTGGGTATTGAGGGCGCCGACATGGCGCAGAGTAAACTTGGCCAGAGAAAAGGAAGGAAAAGGACGACAGATATGAGTGCCAAAGCGCGCACCGAAAGATGGAATGCAAAGTGATCGAAATTTTTGTGGATTGAGTTGTGGTTGGGAAGGTTGACTGCACTGACAGGAGGATCGCACTGTGAGCTTATGCAAAGATTGGAGTGGGAAGACAGTGCGGGTTGATTGCTGCCCCGCATCCCAAACTCTCAGTCTGAGGTATGCTTTGCTCAGTGCATCTTCACTTTCTCGACCGAGAATGGATCTTATCGTTAGAACTACATCATTAGCCATACATATCTTCTTTTGTGCTTCTCGCAACCTTTATGGACGAACGTTGGATTTCCCCTCTGCCTTGTCTTGTTCATCTGGTCGCTGGAGCAACCAACTCCAACAGATCCAAAAGGAACATCCCTCTGCGCACATACTCATCTTGTACCAGGCCAACTTCATACTGCCCAGCAATATATCCCAGACGACTTCAGAGACATCCAAATGTCTTGGCTACGCCGTATTCGTAGATATTCTCTGGGATCAGATCCCTGGCCGTCTGCCCGAGCAAGGCATCGCATCCGACCGTGTAGTATGGCTGCAGGAATTTGTTGGTCAAAGCATCATGAACCGTCGCGGCAACCGCTTCAGCTGGCTGTGCCACACCCTCCGCCGCGAGGTAGGTGAGTTTGTGCCTGTAGCATAATCAGCATCCCCGTCCAACCCGCCCAACGACGCCATCACATACCATTTGTCAATCATCGGCCGGTATACCCTCTCCTCCGCCTCTGGGACGGGTCCATCAGCCCTAACGATCCTCCCAAAACTGTCTACTCCCACGGCGCTCTTGGAGACGTTATCCCAATACTGGCCCCAGGCTTCTCCGATCTTGGGCCCGATCCCTCCGGACCTCGTCCACCCGGGCCGAACCGTCGTCATCCCTACTTCATCAGCCCAAGGTCGCGATCACCCAAAACTGCTCAGATGTGCACCTACCGACACCAAAAGGCATCAACTCCAACCGCCATGCTCTCGTCATTCCCTCCAGGGCCGCCTTCAACGCACTGTCCAAGACAGTCAGTCAGTCACAAATCATTCACATCCACATTTCCACAGCCGGCAGCAGAAACACGCCCCCGGTAACCACTCTTCCCAAATCCAATAACAGCAAAGACTGAAATACGGATGACATGGAGACATACCAGTACGGCGCCCACAGCGGCGGGTTGACATACCCGCCATAGCTCCCGACACTGACAAACCGCCCCTTGTTCCGCTTGACGAGCGGCAAGAATGCCCGGATGACCGCGATGTATGCCCAAAAGTCCAGCTCAAAGATGCGGCGCACGTCGGCGTCGGACGTCAGCTCCATGGGCGAGATCATGCAATAGCCCGCGTTGTTGACCACGCCGACGAGGGGCCGGTCCGGGTCGCCGGCGAGGGTCGACTCGATGTGTGCCGCGCAGTGCGCGATGGAGTCGGCCGAGAGGACGTCCATGAGCGCCGGGTGGATGGCGCCGCCGGCGGTTCCGCGCTGGTGGTCGTGGCGCGGATGGGCTTGCTCGTAGGCGGCTGTTCTGATCTTAGAGAGCTCGGCCTCGTCCTGCGCCGTGGCGAAGACGGTGTAGCCTTTGGAGGCTAGGTGTCGGGCGGTTGCCAGGCCGATACCTGTATCCATGGATGTTCGATGATCAGACCGCGGAGGTGAAGAATGAGGTGCAGGGGTTCAGTTGTGGAAGAGGTTGGATCAAGATGGCCTCACCCTCACTGGCACCGGTGATGACGACGGCTGGCGAGTAGAAGCGGCCTTCGCTGATCGTGCGAGGCCGCGTGTGAGTCTGGGGCTTGAGCCCCCTGAATAAGTAATACAAGATGTAGCCGCTGGCATAGTGGACGCCGCGGTCTAGCCAGGCAAGAATCCGGTTGAGTGCGACTGTGAGGAGCGAGAATGCATTCAGCAGTGAGTTTGCCATCTTTCTTTTTTGATGGGCTGCTGGAACTGAGGACTGGATCTGAGCTGTTAAGGCCGGACTCTAAGTAGTGCAGGGCTGTATGTCGCAGGTTGAGAGTGCGAGCGTTGGGTTAGAGGTGGATTAGTTGAGAATCTGTAATGCATCTGTAATGCTTGATTCTCTACCTTTCCTTATATCTGATCAAGGCTGGATGGATCGCCCTAGTGATCTGATGCCAGGACCTGGCGGTTGAGATCATCATGACGCTTGCATCCATCGTTGTGGTGCAGATGGTAGGCTAGGGTTAGGGGTGCTGAAATGGGGTGAGGATCGATGCCGATGGCTGGAACGTCCAATTTACGAGCAGCTGCACCTCGACAGCGAAGCATCTTGAGCAGCCTTGGAAGGCTCCCTTTTTGATGAAGGATAACTATCCATACCGAGCAACGGTGACAAGGCTGAGTCTGGATTTTGAAGGCTGATGGCTGTTGGTAGTCAAACCCATGAATCCGCTGCAGTAATTTGGTCCGCTTTAGCCGTTTCAGCCGTCTCAGCATAAGGTACTTTGATGATCGTTGCTCAGTCTCATCTTGACTTCGCCTGATCTTGTCGTCTCAGAAACCGCCGGTTTGAAGACTGTTAGAAAAAAAGTGAAAACCCGCTGTCCACTCATTTTGGGCGTCCGCCTAATCGGGCTATGGGCCGCGCAAGAGTGGGTCTGGGGCAGTGCTTCTCCTGCCTGGGACTTGTGCCAGGCTGTCGCGATCCTTCGGCGGCTGCAAGGACTCGGTCACACTCAGCTATATCCGGCGGGTCCCCGGTCTGTTGACACCCCCATCTCACGATTTCCTTCTGCTCTGGGAGTTCGGTGATCCCATTCACAGCTACTTTGCCAGTTTCGAGTCTTTCGTTCGGTTTTCATTTCATCAACAATCGACTCCCCTTCATTCAGTATTTCCAAATCGTTTGACAGAATGTACTCAAGCGTAACCCTTGGCCATAGCCTAGCCAAGCGCCTCGTCGAGTACCCGTCCCAGGGCACGTCCCAGTGGGTGGAAGACAATGTTTCGGCGGCCGCTTTGTTCATCTTCGTTGTTGACTTTATCCTCTTCGTCCCCGTCCTCGTCTTCGTAAGTTTGCCTCCACACTACTCATATTCGCTTTCCACCCTCAACTGACACGTCTCCCTTCAGATCGCCTACACCCTCGGCTTTCTCTACCCCACCCTCGCCGCCGTAGAGGACCCTCTTCCCGCCTACGATGCTCTCTCCATGAACGAGGACGGCGCCCCAACCAAGGACGACGATGACCGGATTCGCACCGCCCAGCCCGGCAAGCCGATCACGAGCTCGCTCCGCGCCATATACCGCCTGGTCCGCTCCCAGGGCAGTTGGCGCTCTAACCTCCGCGGTCTGGGCTACAAAGTGGTCGTGGGCCTTCTCGCGGGCTCTACCACCCTGTTCCTCTCTGCGGCGCCCTTCGTCTCGCCCTCCATCGCTCAGCTCCTCGCCCTCCTCGCCGTGGCCCCTCTGTACACCGCCTGGACTCACTTCGTCGTCACGCCTCCCCACGCAAAGTCTTTCTTCTCCCGCATCCCTCCCGTCCGCAAGGTCTACCTCGCGACCTGGTTCCCGACCTTCCTCTTCTGGGCTGCCAACCACGCCGCCGTCGTGCTCCCGATGCTCCTCGCCAGCGTCATCGGCCTGCAGTTGCCCGACCCGAACCAGCCGGCCGACAACCAGACCCCGATGACCGGCTCTGACGCCGCCAAGGCCATCTGTGTGCTTGGGGTGCACCTCGCGCTGACGGCGCTGCTGGTGACGCCCGCGCACGTCGCCCTCGCACGCGTGCAGGCCTCGCTGCTGCCCGCCGACGAGGACACGCTCGTGCCGTTTGACCGCTCGTTTGGCGGTCGCGTCGAGCCCGAGATCGTCAGCGGCAAGGGCTTCGCCACGTTCGGCGCTGCCCTCAAGACGGTCAGCGTGCAGAGCTGGGTGCGCATCTACTTGCTGGATATCAAGGTGGCGGCTGTTGCGGTCGCGGCATACGCTGTGATGGGCGCTGTGGTTGTGGGGCAGGTCCTCTTGTTTGGGTTGTGGGCGGGGTCCCAGTAAGTGAGAATGTGGGCCATACGAATGCTTTTCAGAGCCCACCGTGGGTAACGTGGCCTGCTGCGATGCTCCAGATGGCTTGGCTTGGACAGTTTGAAACAGTTGTGGATATCCTTTGTTTGTATACGGAAGGAAGGTTATACTCGTGTTGGTTTTGAGAAGGAGTTCGTCCATTCTCCCGACCAGGGGAGCAGGTGTGTACCATTGGTCTCGTTCATCATATCTCCTACATGCGATTTCAATGGCACAACCGATAGGTCGACTTATCCTTCGGAGGATCGACAAGATTACTGAGTTCCCTTCTCATTGAGAGCCATCGCTTCTGCGAGCAGGGTCGACGGGCGTTCTTATGAGCTGAAAAGTTTCCAGCCAGATTGCAGTCACCTATGTGCATTAGGTCCACGTTGCTCCAGTCGGCGTCCTCCTACATTACAAGTAAAGTCCACCTGGCCGATGGAGATGGGGCTGAAGTGGGCAGAAGCCCGTCCCGACGAGCTGGGAAGGACCCTGACTTTTCTCCTTCACAAATGCACTCTGCGTTATGATCAAACCAAAGACGACATCAAGTTGATGGACGAGAACAACCTGCCCTGCGCCTCGTGCCAGAACCTGACGCAATGCCACTTAGTTCTCCCCGTCTCAAACTGAGAGAAGGAGTAGACAACAACTGCAAGGCTTGTAGCCTGCTGAGAGACATCCTCTCCAAATTCGCTCCCTTTTCCGGCTATGAAACTATTTGTATCCTGGTCGATTGCGCTCTTTACATCCATGCGTACCTCAACGGGCCCCATGGACTTTTACATGCGACGATTGAGGTCTCCGCGAAGCCAGGTAAGTAGGGCTCAACCACATTATAGCATCGGCGTTGACTAGTTATCAGCACAGGCAAGCCATCGAGATGGAGATCGGACCGGCCGAGGTAGTATTACCAATGGCCAACGAGAATGGCGCAACCGTCGAACTGATCAAGCGCTGGCTCGATGACTGTCGGGCAAGGCAACCATCCTGTCAAGTGCCATCAACGGCAACCCTCCCTGATCGACTAATCGACGTAGGAATATCCTCCGAGACCGTCTCACTACACGTCAGTGGGAGTGGTGAGGCGGGGTGTTACGTCGCGCTGAGCCACTGCAAGGGCGGCCATACGCCTTTGGCAACGACAACGGCCAATCTCGCCGAGCACCAGAGATTTCTTCGCTTTGATGACAACCCGAAGACCTTCGCGCAAGCGGTGCAGCTTACTCGCGATCTTGGGTTTAAGTACTTATGGTATGCCTATGTCCTTGACCCCTGAGACAAGTACCACCCTGCCTAACGAGTCACAGGATCGATTCCCTCTGCATCGTCCAAGACGACCCTAAGGATTGGGAGATTGAGGCTGCGAAGATGAAGGATGTTTACAGCAACTCTGCTCTGACTCTCTCGGCGGACAGCGCCGAAGACACTTCTCAGGGATTGTTTGGCACACCGGCAGCTAGGGTAGCTGCCAACAGAACCCGCGTCATAACTACCGAGGATCCTTCCGGCTTACCCGTCGAGATATGCCCGCATTCGCCACTCGCGGCACCCTTCTAACCCGGACAGCGCCCCTCACTCTAGCCTACCCACCAAGCCAAGCAGGCTTTCGACCCGAGCATGGGTCCTGCAAGAACGCATCCTCTCCCCGAGTATGGTTCGTTTACCCAGAAGAGCTCGTCTGGTCCTGCTTCGGCCTACAGCGATGCGAGTGCCGACAGCAAGCCGCTGCGTCCTCCTCCGGAACCTTCCGACGCATCCTGACATCCGCGCAATCTTCCGACGACACCCCCTTCTCGGTCACAGAACACGACCTCCTGATCGAATGGCCCAAGATCGTCTCCCAATTCACCAGCAAGGGCCTCACCGATCCCAAAGACCGCCTCCCCGCCCTCTCGGGCCTCGCCACGCTTATGCAGACCAAGCTCCCACCCTCGACGCGCTACCTCGCCGGCCTCTGGTCCTCCGACATGGCCTACTCCCTCCTGTAAATCTCCCACCACGGCGCAGCCGCCCCGGCGGACTCCCAGCAGCAGCAGCAGCAGCAGCAGCAGCAGCAGCAGCCCATCACCATCACCCGCCGCATGCCCATCGTCCCGTACGCCCCAAGCTGGTTATGGGCGTCCATCGTCGGTCCCGTGCGCTACATCGACCGGCATCTGGACCAGTTCCGGTACCGGCGATCAGGCGACGACGAGGTCAAGCCCGTGCTCCAGGTCCTGCGAGCCGCTACCGTGCCGCAGACGGCCGACGTGTATGGTCCCGTCACGGCCGGATTCGTCACGATACGCGGGCAGGTGTTGGATGTCATGTACAACCTCCTCGGTGGAACCTGGCGTCCGGTGCTGCCAGGGAGACCGCCCGGGAATGATGAGGTGGGAGCAGATCATGTACTGCCGGGGATTGCGCCGGCGGTGATATTCGATGTGTTGGAGGAAGATTCAAAAGTTAACAGTGAGCAGGCAATCGCGGGCTTGTTTAGGCGATTCGTCATGCTGAGAGCGGCAACGTATATCTGGGATGGGACGATGTCGACTCAGAGGACTGAGGTGGTGGCGCTGTTGTTGGCCAGGGTCGATGTGGATAGGGGAGACGGATTTCAGGAGGTGTGTAGGAGACAGGGCGTGGTGTTGCACGCCTTTGATAGTGACAAGGTATGGAATGGCGTGGAGGTGAAGACGATCATCATTACTTGATGTATGCCTGTTCAGTTGCAGACATTCTTGTTTCCAGCATTTAATGTCATGCCCGAGTTTCTCCCTCTGAAAGATCACCCCACAGACTTTGAGCTTGCTCCAGACAAGATGAATGAATACTGTCTGTTCCTTGAGACGATGCAAATTACAATAACAGTGCTTCACCCCTCAAGTCACCAGAAACTCCCGTCCCAACCCCAAGTCCCAGCTATGCAGGCCGCCCTGATCTCTCTCATTTACCCCTCACACCTCGCCCCCAGCAACCCCGGTCGACCAAGTATACAGGATAGGGTACCTCAGAAGGAAACGCGTGGGTCGACAAGAACATCTAGATAGCCCAGGTACCGGTTACCACCACCCCGTATGACCCCACATCTACGCAATGAGAACCATCCCTACCCTATCCAGTCCCCTGTTTAACACCACACCTGCCCAACATCTGACAAAAGGAGGGTATATCCACACGAACCACTCCAACACACCCTCAATTGAGCTCATGCCCACCAACCCCCAAGCCAGCCGATCCCAACCCGCGAAAGTGACAACGACACCGGCATCGGCTCCGCTCACGACTTCTGGAAGAACCAGCTCGATCTCTTATTCTCGGGCGGGTTCTGCAGGCTTGCGACGGTGGGATGCGCCGACGAGGCCGTGCTCTCGCCCCCGCCGCGGAGGGGCTTGGCGATGCGGCTGCCAATGCTGAACCCGCCGAGCCCCGTCTCCGGCCCCAGCCCGCGCGTGCTACCGGCTTTGGCGGCCTCGAGGCGGTCCTTAACAGCGGCCAGTTGGACTTCGAATCTGTTTGTAGTAGAAAAGAAAAAGGATCGGACGTTAGTCAAATGTTTTCCCATAACTTGGTGACGCGGGAAGTGGGGGGAAGGGGGAGGAAACGTACTTGTGATTGGCAGCCGCCATCTTCTCCTGGCTCTCCTGCAACAGGCTCTCAAGGCTCTGGATGCGCTCGTTGCGGGCGATGAGCTTGCGCTCGGCGATGGCCACCTCCTTCTTGAGCGCCGAGTTCTGCTCAACGAGCTGGCGCTGCACCTGCGTGAGCTGCTCAAGGTTGCGCTCGAGGAAGGCCATCTTCTTTTGCTGCGCGCGGTTGTTGCTACTGCGCAACACGTTGTTGTACTGCTCGCGCGTCTCGTCGAGCGAGATCTCGAGCTCGACCACGCGCTCGCACCGGTTCTGCAGGTCTCGCATCAGGCTCTTCTTCATGACGTCAAACTCGGCCAGCTGCTGCTGCACCGTCTTGCCGTTGGTCATGGGGACCGCCCCGTTGGCCTTGACCCGCCGCTGCAGGTCGTCGACGAGCGCCTTGAGCCGCTCGTTCTCCGACGTCCGGACCGCAAGGTCGGCTTTGAGACTCTCGACCAGCTGCACTTGAGTGCTGGACTTGTCCGACAGCGTCTTGGCGAGCATGGCCTTGACCTCCTCCTTGTCCGCCTCATCCAGGTTGCGCGAGAGGATATCTTCGTGTTCCAGCTGGAGGGCCTCCAGGCGCTCCTCAAGCTCGGAGCGCTTCCGAGCTTCCACCTCGTTTGACGCGGCGCTGAACGCGGACAGCTCGGCTTGCCGCACGAATCCCTGCGTCTCGACCAGCTTCTCCCGCAGCGCCTTGAGGTCGTCGGGCGGGATCGGGTCGCCGGTGGAGCTGATCTCGTACAGAGCATCTAATTGCGCGATGGCGTCGGCGACTGCCCGTTCGTTATCGCTGAAGACGTCCCCGCTGAGGTCAAAGCCAGCCATCATCTTGGCCATCTTTTCCGCCTTCTTCTTCTCCTTCTCGTCCAGCACCGCGCTCGTCTCCTTGGCGCTCATTTTCATATCGAGCATCTGCTGCTTGAGCTCGTCCAATTCGGCCGTGAGCTCCGAGTTGGCGTCCTTCAGGCCGTCCATGGTAATCTGCGCCTCTTTGTTCTCGAACGCTAGCCTCTCCAGCTGCATCTTAAACTCGTTTGATTCGTTGATCAGCCTCTCGTTGTCCTTTCCAACCTTCGCATCGTGTTCCTTCAGGACGGCCAGCTCTTCCTTCGTCTCCCGCAGCTGCCGTTCCATTGCAGCCGCTTGCGTCTCCTTTTCGGCCAGCTGGTCTTGGAGCTCGTTCTCTCGGCGCAAGAACTCCTCCCGCTCGTCCTTTTCCAGAGGCAGACTGGGAGTCCCGGCTCTCTCGGAGATGCCTGGCGTTTCGGCCCCTGACCTGTCAGTCAGTAACCGGGACGGCGTTTGTGGTCTCGCAGGCCTTGCATCTGCCCTTGCTCCCGCCACACCGTCTGCGGAGAGGGGTGTCACCCATTTCTCCTTGGGCACCGTTTCGCCAGCACGCCATAGTTGAATCTCGCCCTCTAGGTTAACAATGTAGTTCTCGAAGGTCGTGATTTGCGTCTTGGCCTTTGCAAGCATCATCTTGAGCTCGGCCGGGCTTAGTTCGGCGTTGACCTTGGCCTTGTTCTTGATGGATTTGGCGCGCATTCCAAAGCGCAGCGTGCTGAGGGTCTCGGCATCGTTGTAACTACTTGGGGAGCAGTTGATGATGAGCGTTGTCCGGCTGTTACCACCCAAAGACTCCTGCAGGATACGAGTGAGTTTTGAGTCGCGGTAAGGAATGTGGGAGGATTTGCCGTCTGTCAAGGCATTGATGACCATGCCCAGGGCGCTCAAACTCTTGTTGATCTTCTTGGCCTCCTCGAGCGTCTGGCCGCTGGCGCCCGTCTTGCCAACCTTCTCACTACCCGCCAAATCGACCAGAAACAGCTGACCACTCTTCGCCGAGCCCGTCTCGACGTTCTTCTGGGTGATGGTGATGACGAATATTGAGTGCGAGCGTGACGACTCCTGATTCATGTTCGTCGCGGCGACCGCCCGTGCGTTGCCGCCCCTCCGCATGACCTCAAACACCTCCTGCACGCTCGAGACATAAATCTCCAGCAGACCCTTAACGTACACTCCGCGGTTCTTCTCCTCGTGGACGGGAAGATTGTCATTCTGCGGCGCCAGAAGATCGCGAATCCTTTCCATGTAAATTTCCATGTAGCTGACCCGCACCGTGTACTCGATATTTGCCGCGCTGGAAAGAATATTGGTGAAGATTTGCTCGACAATCCTCGGAATGACGCCCTTGCCCTCCTCGTCGTCGATATTCGTGCCCATCATCGTGTATGACTTGCCGGCGCCAGTTTGGCCGTAGGCAAAGACAGTGCCATTGTAGCCGTTGAGAATGTCGTCTACGGTTGACTTGATGGAGAAGTCGAAAATGTCGGATTGTTTGCATGACATGTCGAAGACGCGGTCAAAGGTGAAGCTGCCCTGGGCTTCTCGTGACTGGGTTTTACATGGTTAGTCACGCAAGCCGGGACACCGCGGCGGAGCGCAGGGTTAACAGCCTCGGGGCGACTCACATCGATGGTACAGGTATCTGGGCCATCGAAGCTGACAATGGGCTGGCCGCCCGACTCGATCTCGACCCGGTTCTGCGGGCGAAATCGAGCCACAACCTTGATGCTATTTGCGTTGGACATGATGGCAGCCCGCTTCCCGCGCTCCAGGGAAGCGCAAAATCATGAAGGGAGGGCGGCGCAGAGCAGGAAGAGGGCACGAAGCGGTGTTTGGCAACGGACGACAGATTTGCAAGCGGCCCTCGACAGCGAGTGAGCGTCGTGGGGGAGCGCGGCTGTATCTATTGGCTCGTTGGAAGCGACTGTGAACCGACGGAATGGTACACCGTCAGGCGTTGGCAGGCAGAAACTTGGGCGTGGGGAGATCCTGAAACGGAATAACGAAATGTCTAATCGAATGCAGGTTGCCAGAAACGCCCACGTTATGAGAAAGTGGTGGGGTCTGGGCGGTGTCAGGGGTAAGGCTGCAGTGAGCGACCCTCCAGGTGGATGTTTTGGCATTCGGGTGTCACTCGGAGACCGTGGGCTGAAAGACGCGCCATTCCGCGGTTGTGAGTGGCTGTTTCATGGGTCAAAGCACGAGACAGAGCCCCGCTCAGAGCTCGCAGTGCCTTGCGGCCGGCTGCAGCGGGCGAGCATTGTTCTAGGCACCAGGGGTCAAATGAACTTCATGCGGGTGGAGACGGCACATGGACGGTAATCCTTGAACATCGCAGATCAGGTACGGGACTTCACATCTTAAAGAGAGAGAAGATGAAGAAGGAGCAGAATGCAAGTATCAAAAACCGATCGTCTCCATGGGAAACAACGAGGCCAAAGCTGCATTGTCTGGTCCCACTCTCAGGGGTGATTTGCACTCGACTGCCGACTATGATCAGACATATAAGAAGTACCTGAGCTTCTGACACTGTAGTGCTTGGATAGGACTCGAAATCAGGAGCAGACGGGATAATGTGACCGGTAAAAAAAAGTAGATCTACTTAGGCTTACTTGTAACGACTATGCGGGCCTGAACTCTAACTCCCCTTTCCCCCCCCAGTATCGAATCCGAACTCCTGTACAAGGGGAATATCTGACTTCCAACGCCCAATATGAATAACATGCATCCAGATGCTAGAGGAACGCGGCCCAAAACGCCAGAACTCCTGAACAAGAGAATGACTATGTTGGGTCGAATCCATGCTCATATCACGTGCCCTAGACATGGCCCTACCATGGTAAATCATGCAGCCGTGTCACCAAGTATCAAGCCCGCCGACTTCCCCACCTGGACCGATGGTCGAGCACCAAGCCTTCAATCTTCCCAGCTCTTCTCCACCGTCTCCCTCACCCTCTTTGTGTACTCTTTGCGGTTGTCCTTGTACAGGTTCGACGCCTCGACGTTCGCGGGGGATCCGGTGTTAGGGTCGTTGAGTAAGCTACCGAGTTGTGTCAGCTGCCGATATCCCATCCAATACCAACATCTCATGCTTGCTTGCTTCCACCACCCACCTCTGGATACTGGTAAGCACGGCGGCAACATCGTAGGTCGGACTCCAGCGGTTCTGGAGGATGTCGAGGCAGAGCTCCCCGGTGGCGTACACGTTCGGGTGGAACATTTGGCTGATGAACTTGACGGATGGCGGCTTGTTGGGGTACTGCTCCTCAAAATGCATCACGAGCCTGAAGGTCCCGTCTTCGAACGGCGTATCCGCCGGACCGATGATGACAGCGTTCCTGGGGGGTCGCCGGAGTCAGTTGCTGCGGAGCTGGGCGAGAGATGTCAAGACGGCGGTCGCTCACCAGGTCATGACATTATCGGGGACGGGAGATGCGGAGACGCCAGCGGGCGGATCAGTCTGCATGCGCTGTATCCAGCATGTTAGCCTCGCCACACTCTTAGAATGACAGCTCTCGGATGATGCCTCTCACCTTGAAGTCTCGCATGAGACGGCGGCGAGCGGCGGTCGACATCTTAATCACAGAGCAATATAGAGCGGTAGTCGTCGGTGAGGTACGTGAGAGAGCAAAACAGGTTATTGTTGAGGCAACGTAACGTAACAAACCGAAGTTGAGCTGAATCGGTAGGAGAAGGATGCGGAGAAAACACGGCGCAAGCGGCGAATGTCGTCGAAGGCGATGATGGGATTCCGAGGGACGAAGCTCAGTTGGGGATATCTGTTTAACGGGGCATATTCAACCAATCAGCGTGAGTAATACCGCTGAGCGGGGCTGCTCTCGGTAACAGCAAACCCGCCACTGAAGTCGCCCGTCGATTTGGAGGCTTTCGCTTCATGTTGGCACAATGTGGCTATGAGCGACTGGAGATGAGTGCAAACTTACGGATACCCCCGAGTGAGACCTCCCGCCGTCGAGTTCTCTTGAGATCATCATCTTCTCTACAGACCCGTTCCCACCCAGGTGGCAGCATGGAATGCGGTTCCACTTGAGCTTACCTAACCAAGGAAGCCAGGCTCCCTTTTCTGGGGAGTGCCGAAGTGGCGCCTTAATCCCGAATCTTTTGCCCCACCTCCACACCCACCCGGAGACTGGCCGTTGTCCGTCACAAGCCGAGCAGTTCCGCCGTCATGTCTTTTAAGAATGCTGCCCTGGGGATGGGCGAGCTGCCCGTGACACAACCCTCTAGCTTTTGTTTCTCCTCGAGCTTCAGATTCTTGTCGTCTTATCCTGTGTCTTTCCTTGCTATCCCCCACAGTCCACATTTGTCGTGGTCATGGCAGGCCAATTCAGAGTTGCGCTGCGTGTGTTGCCGCATCTTAATAAAGCCGGCTCGGTTCGGCTGTTCTCGTCACATGCTTGCCCCCGGCAGGAGATCCGAGATGCCTACATTCTGAGCGCGTCCCGGACACCAACAGCAAAAGTATGTATTCGAGACCTCATGATTTTGCGCATGTACCGTTGCCTTCAGTGCTCTAATTCTCATAGTTCAACGGATCCTATGTGAGCGTTACCGGCCCCCAGCTCGGCGCCGTCGCCATCAAGTCCGCCCTCGAGAAGTCAAAGGTGCCCGTCTCCAAGATCACTGATGTCTACATGGGCAATGTCCTTCAGGGCTCTGTCGGGCAGGCCCCGGCGCGCCAAGCCTCCATCTTCGCCGGTCTCCCCCCAACAGTCGAAGCCATCACCATCAACAAGGTGTGCGCCTCTGGGCTAAAAGCGGTTGTATTTGCGGCGCAAAACATTCAGCTAGGGATATCCGAGGCCCAGGTCGCCGGCGGTTTTGAGAACATGTCGAGGGTGCCATACTACTTGCCTCGCGCGAGCGGTTTGCCCGCGTTCGGCCACGTAAAAATGGAGGACGGGCTGATCAAGGACGGTCTTACCGACGTCTACGACCAGATCCACATGGGCAACTGCGCCGAGAACACGGCGAAGCAGTACGGTATCACGAGGGAGGCGCAGGACCAGTACGCGATCCAGTCGTACGAGCGGGCGCAGGCCGCCTGGAAGGCCAACGCTTTTGCCGACGAGATTGCGCCTGTCACGGTAAAGGGCAAGAAGGGGGACACGATCATCAGCATGGACGAGGGATACCTCGACATCAAGCTGGAGAAGGTGCCCACCCTCAAGCCGGCGTTCGTCCGCGACGGCACCGGCACCGTGACAGCGGCCAACTCGTCGACGCTCAACGACGGCGCCAGCGCGCTGGTGCTTGGCAGCAAGGCCATTGCGCAGGAGTATGGCGCCGGTTCGCGGGTCCTTGCGCGTATTTGTAGCTCGGCCGATGCTGCTGTTGACCCGATTGATTTCCCCGTTGCCCCTGCCAAGGCAGTCCCCATTGCCCTGGAGCGGGCTGGTATCACCAAGGACCAGGTCGCCGTGTGGGAGTTCAATGAGGCCTTTGCCGCGGTAATCAAGGCCAATGAGAAGGTGAGGCATAGTCGAGCGCTTCCACGAAGCTGAGAACCCACACTAACTGAGGTATTTAGATCCTCGGCCTAGAAGGTGCAAAGGTGAACCCGCTGGGTGGTGCCATCTCGCTGGGTCATGCCCTCGGCAGCTCGGGGTCCCGCATCCTTGTGACGCTACTGCATCAGCTCAAACCTGGCGAGTACGGCGTCGCGGCCATTTGCAACGGAGGCGGCGCGGCAACAGCCATGGTTGTGCAGAGGATCGAGTCTGTGTAAACCAGGCAGCTGGGTCTCAGCCTGGTTGTCTCTGCTGGCAGCAACCTACACACACAAATATGCAAACCATACTTGATCAGATGTATTCTTAGGAAGCAGAAAAATGCGGTTTTTGAGGAATCCCGTCCTGCCGGACGTTATCTTGCATCTTGCCTGTAGTTATGTTGCCTATGGAAGGAAGCAGCCCTTGGATAGCGTCTTGCACGCCGTGTTGTTTTGGAGGGCAGGGGTGGTTGTTGTGTACTTACAGGGTTAGGGTTAATCAAGTCGATAGTAGCTTCAGGGTCATGACTTTGTTCTTGTTTCTCAGTTTCTCCTCCTCTCTCTGCTTTGAGCGTGAAGCTCAACCCAGCCCAACTTCCGATGTTCTAGTTTCTTGTGTCTGGTCCCCTCTCCACCGTCACGGCTGCAATGCGACAATAATCTGGCAAGTTGAGTTGCGCACCCATATCCTGTTGATGGGGGGGTGCTCCATGGTCGGCGATCAACTGCTTTCAGCGCCAACAAAGGCCTCCACATCCATCTCCCACCGTCAGATGAACGCACATCGCCGCCACAATGTCAAATCTCGTGGTTCAATTCCTGTCTAGCATTCGGGGGTTTGTCCGGGAGCTCAATGGTGATGAGCTCCGCAATTGGCTGCTAGTCGAAAACGAGGTTGCCAGTATTTACTTTGAGATGAGCAGCCAGCTCAAGGCGGGCTTTCCCGAGAACTCACCGGTTCTCGAGCATCTAATCGACACATGTCTCCCCGAAGAGGACAATGTGCCCGAGGGAAAGGGTTCTCCATGGCCGGGCTTCAACTCGTTCATCAAAGAGTACCTGGAGTACTGGCGCGATGTCGATTTTGAGGATGTCGTGAGACTGCATTCCCGGCTCAGCAATCTTGTCATGTACGAACCATTCTCCTTGTATCTTCCATCCGCATCTGTTTCGCTGACAGACGTCTCTCTAGCTCTTGTGCAAATGCGCTGACCAACCCAACATATGGCACCGTGCTGCTGCAGACCAGCATGTCGCTCTCTGAATCGCTGTCCAAATTGGTTATGGGCCTTACTCGACAGCCCCATTTGCTGGCGCAAATCCAGGGCGATACGACGGAGGAGGACGCCGGCGAGAAAAGGACTATCGTGGAGCTGGCCGCCGACATCATCCAGAAAATCTTCACTTCCTGCTTGACCGATCGGTCCAGCACGCGATGGTCGCAGCCCAAGGGGAAGAAGGTGGCTGTTTATCTATTTGCCAACCTGACGTTGAAGTTACTCTTTGCTGTGAGCCCATCCGCCCCCTCCCTCCCCCATTTAGACTTGCGTAGTGCTAATCTCGTTCAAGTGCGACAAGTCACGGCTCGCCGTGCAGATGTTCACCAATCTCTCGACAAGCGGACCGGCTCTCTCCCTGTACCCGGCATCGCAGCGAGTCACCTTCCTCTACTACCTAGGCCGGTTCAACTTCGACCAAGGCCATTACCTGCGAGCGCACATGTGCCTTGAAGAGGCCTATCGCCAATGCCTCCCTCGATTTCAGAAACACCGCCGGCAGATCCTCACCCATTGGATCCCGGCGAACCTGCTACTAGGCCGCTTCCCCTCCCTTGCCCTGCTCCAACGCCCCGAAGCCGCAGGATTCGCCGACATCTTCCTGCCCATCTGCACAGCAATCCGCACGGGCAACTTTGTCGCATTCCACCATGCCCTCGCCCTCAACCGCGACTGGCTCTGGGAAAAGGGCTTCTACCTCACCTTCCTCTACCGCCTGAAGCCCCTAGTCTGGCGCTCCTTCACCCGCAAGACGTTCCTCCTCACCTGGCAGGGGTCCGGGGGAGACCCCTCGAGCAATCGAGCCCCTCAGTTATCTTTTGAAGACCTGGTCACGACGGCAGGGTACACGCAGAAACTGTTGGAGGGTTACGTGCCCGCGAAACCGCCGGCGCCGCGATCCCGGCCAGCCAACAACAAGAACAAAATCAACTCGGTTTTCCTCAAAGCCGTCACCAACAGCGCCACCGCGGGGGGCGAGTCGTCGGACGCGGCCTCGTCGTTGCTCGTCTCGCCGCCGAGCGGACCCCGCCGGCTGATGCCGTCCGAGGGTCTGATTTTTGGCAACAAGAAACCGGACGTCGAAAACGTCGAGTCGGTGGTCGCCGGGCTCGTGTACTCGGGCCTGCTCAACGGCTTCATCGCTCGTCAGCAGAAGCGATTTGCCGTCGAAGGGGCCAAGAAGAAGGGTGGCAATGCCGTGGCGGCCGGCTGGCCGAATCCGTATGAGAGCATTCTGGAGCGGTTTAGGGAGGCGCATCAGGAGGCGCTGGATGCGTGCGACAGCGGCGAGAGCGTGGAGCCGCCGGGGGAGATGGACGACGTCCCCGGTTGGGTGCGGAATCCGCCATGACCCTGGGGGGGTATACGGGCAAGTAAAAGGGGTCGGATTGGGTGGACAGGTGGCCTGTGAGACATGTGTATAATATCGGGTTGACTGAGGGTAGCACAGTGCTTAAGCGGTGTCGTACGGCATTGTCCCTCCCTGGAGTTGTGTTAGTGGTGGGATTGAGATGCAAGGGAGAGCGCCGAACCGCACGATGCATGCCAGGCATAAGTCGAAGATCCCGCTCCTCTTCTTCTTCACATAAGCTTTCCACTGGGAATAAAGCCACTTGTCATCGTCCATCAACTTCGCTTTTATTTTGATTGAGCTTGTTGTGTCTGCCCCTGTGGATGGACACCACCAATAGCGCAGCACCAATACACACATTTTACGTTCACCCCCATTTCAGAAATCTCAACCGTCCAAAACCTGGCCATACCCTTCCTCATTCCGGCCATACATCCATCCTTTCCATCTTTAGACATCAAAAATCCAACTCATCCGGGAGAAAACCAACACAACCAATATCCCAGATCAAACCACACCAATGACGACCAGGGATTCGCAGACCAAGAAATAAATCCAACGGGGTATATCGCGAAGGAACAGGAAGTTTGAACAACAACTCAGTATGGCCCAAAAAATAAACCGGAGCAAACCCGCTCGGCTAACAGAATCGAAATGGGAAATAGAGTCGAAGAAGAGGCCGGTCAACAAAAGAAAGAGACCGGCATCGGCGGCAAGTGGGTACCGCAAATACCAATAAACACTAAAATTTGGGGATATGTGGGTCGTCAATAAACAGTCCAAGGACGTGGGCAAAAAAAGGTGGTTGTATCGGTACTGGCGAACGAGATCCGTCCCAAGGCGGCATTGATATATTATGAAGATTCAAAAAGCGTGCCACCAGGAGCAAGCGGCAAAAGGAAGGAGAAATTCGCCCCTGGCGAGGACGAACGCGAACTAAAACAGCGCGGCAGCAGCAACGAGCGCCACCACCAGCCCCGCGATCGCCGAGCCCCTTTCGGCGGCGACGGCCGCCGCGCCCTCGTTGCTCGAGGTGGGCGACACGGCGCCCGCCGTCGTGTCTGGGACTGAGCTCGCGGCGGGCTGGGGCGTGGGTGTGGGGGAGGTGCTGTAGTACGACGTTTCGCCCTGGGCGTCCTGCTCCTGGAACATGCCGCCGTAGAACGCGTCTGTTGTGCTTGAGCTGGCGGCTGAGGAGGAAGAGGATGAGGAGGTAGAGGAGGAGGAGGCGGCGGAGGAGGACGCGGTGGTTGTTGTCGTCTCGGAGGAGAAGGTTGGTTTCTCAACGGTTGAGGTTGTGCTGGGTGCGGAGGGAGGGTTGCTGGAGGAGGATGGGCCAGGCGAGCCGGAGGATCCGTCTGTGTTGAAGACGACGATGTTGGCGGTCTGGCCCTTGGGAACGGTCACGACGCAAAAGTTGGCGCCGCCGACGCCGTTGGTCGAGACGGGACTGTCGAGGCCGTTGACACCGCCCTTAGACGGGTCGATGGCGCACGGCAGACCGTTGCAGCCTCCCGACGGGCACTCGATCCTGAGGCCGAAGGTCGGCGTGATTTGGGAGAGCGGGGTCGACAGATATTCGGGGTTCCAGGCGATCTTGACGTATGTGTCGCCGCTGGCGACGGTGTTGGCTCCGGCGACGAAAGGGCTCCAGTTGCCGATCGGCTCGGTGATCTTGCCCCATACGCAGCCCTTAGAGGCGGGTATCCCCGGCGCGTTGATATAGTAGCTGGGAAAGGTCAGTATTGGGTCTTTGTGCTACGGAATTGGCCTCAACACTAACTGTGCAGCAGTGCCGTCCCAGTAGTCCGGCCCTGGGACAGCCAGAGTGGCCGTGTCAGTAACATCGGTCGGAATAATCATCGCCTCGTTGCCAGGCAAGACGGTCTGGCAAAACGACACGATGCTGCCCGCCTTGTTCACGGCCTTGACTGCGCCTGTGCCGTCCACGCAGTAGGGCGCCGACTTGAAGGGTTTTTCAGGCGTTCCTCCATTGCAATACAAGCCGCCGAGCTGAAATTTCGTCAACATCACAATCCGAACTCGGATCTGGAGGAGGGCCGTCAATTTACCATCGACTCATTAGGGTTGTAAGTCGTGTTCGGCTTCCACTGCGCCATCACCTTGCCAGACACGCACGCCAGCGGACACCAGGTTCCATCCTCGCAGGGTTGATCAGGGCTCATGGCAAAACCATTGTTTTTCTCGCCAGGGACGCGCACCAGATCGGGATGGTCGGGCAGGGTGCAGCGCGCTTTCCTTGGAGCAACTTTTGGTGCGTCGAGAACCTCCGCAGCCTGGTGGCCATGACCATGCCCATGCCTTTTCGCATATTGGTCGTGTGCGTGCCGGTGCCCCAGGTTTGCGGAAACGGGCTGGGCCGAGAAGAGAATGGAGGCCGAGCCGATGGCGGCCTGGAGTGTTGTGAACCTCATTGTCTCGAAGTTTTGAAAGGCTGGCCTGAGGAGCAGAACTCTCGGTTGAGCAACGCCTCCTATGTTAAAGCTTCCCTACGTCCCCTGGGCATGCGTCTTCTCAACGCATAAGAGGAAGCGCGTTGCCTGGCCCAGATCCACGCGCCGAGGGAGTATGGACGGACAACAACCGTCGTCAAAAGACGCAATCGCCGGGACCGAGGAGGCGGTTGACAGCCGAGGATCGCGACAACGAGTGACGAGGGAAACGAGAGAACGTCCTGAAACGCAGAACGCCGAATGGGAAAAGGGAAAGGATTCCGCCCTGGCAAGGGGGCCTCCAAGTTTGTTGCTCCATGAAATTCTGGGGCACCATTGGGGGGCCGGCCAGACCAACTCATCCATCTTCGATAGCCTCGTGGGCTTGTCCAATGAGGACGGCGGCTATGGACGGTTCCTGGCGTCTCATCTCGGCAGTGGATGCGGTTCGACAGGGGTCAGCCCCGGCACGTTGGCACTGGCCCAGTGATGTTTGCAGTTTGAGATTGCGGCACTAACCGCTGGCGAGATGAGCCTCTTCAGGGGTTGGATTGGCATTTGCATCTCTTGTCATCGAGAGAAAATGTAGATAAAAAGCCATTTGGAGCCCTCCTCGCTGTGAGGACTTAAGAGTCTCGCCGTGGACTGGTTTTCTTTTCCTGCTGGGAGGGGGACAGTGAGGACGCATCCACGTGTCGTGCTCGCAGGGAATTGGGACTGTCCAAGACAATCTCTCCGGCCAACCTGTTGTTGGAACCATTTTCCTATGCTTGGGCACGATTGTTGTTGTCTGCCGGCATTTTTTTGGGTCGCCGCACTTTCGTCCGCAACCTTGAGAGAACTCGAACGCGTTGAGGATTCTCGCTGAAGAATGCCTCTTCTGGGGCTGCCTTCCGATAAGACCCAAATCAAAGAACATGCTCAAGCCGGTGTTTCAGAACCATTGTACGGACAGCTCCACACCAACTGATGCCGAGATTCGAGATTTGAGCCGGCGATGGAGAGACTTTGGACCTATCAGAGTAACGCTTTTCGTCCCGTTTCCTGTCCCCTAAGACGGTCACCACGGCCGCGATTTCCGGGCCCGCTTACGCCGTCCCGGTAAAGAATGGCGAAGCCGTCAAGATTGGCACCAGGAACTCTCCAACCCCAACCTCATGCTCGCCCTGCCGTGTCCCTTGGTAGACAGCTCAGGGCTTTATTTTCCTGTATTGTGCTGTCAAGACCACATTAACATCTCGCCATACTTTGCCGCATGAGGGTGGGGGATGAAGCGGCAGAGGTGGGTGATGGATGTTGTTGGCCGGCAGGACGCGAGGTTCAATGGGTGACAGTGAGTCCAAGACTCGACTCGACTGTTTCACTCCATCCGCCTAAAGATCTGGACGATTGAAAGAAAAAAGGACCTGGCAAGATTGAGATTCAAACCTTTACTCTCAGCTACGGATCGTGATCAATGGTTGAGTACCCCAACGTGGCAAAAGAACTCAGATGTCAAATATCTGACGTAAGGATCTAAATACAGTGACAAGAGTGGGATTCGAACCCACGCCCTTTCGGACCACGGATCTCTGAGAAGAGAGTAATTAAGGGTTCACCTTAACGTGGCGCCTTAGACCGCTCGGCCATCTTGCCATTTTTGATTGGATGCTTTATTAAATTGAAATTTATTTTATGGGTTTCCTCGGTTGTGCGCGGAGGTTTCTTAGCTGCAGTGGTTGTGTGGATTTGGCAGGTGGTCAGGGAGGGCAGTTCAGAGGTGACTGATGGCTTGGCACTAAGATTCTCAGGATCAGGAAGAGGGGCAAACTGTTTGGAAGAACGGAGACACCAAGATTATCATCAACTGAGTGGGTGCCCATCGTGTTGGTGCCCAATTACTATGGTGCGGTAATTTCATGGCTGTTGGCTTTTCAATACTCCTCCGGGAAAGGCTACCTGAACTCCTAACTTCCGTTTCTATACAGCAGAACGAAACAGCAGCCACGTGTTGGAAGTGAAGGCACTTGAAACTCGGAAACTGGGTTGCCGGTATCGTACCCTGGTCAGGGGTAATAAACAGCTGTTACATAAGGTCTAGGAG